CAGGACGCGGTACCAAAAGGTCTACTGAAACAGTGTAGGACGTGGTGAAATAGACTTGGAAGTGGAAAAAAACTGCCTTTCAAGTAGCGGCATGTATGGACAAAGGTCATTGGTTCTTGGTACTTCGCTCACATGGCTTTAAAGCCATTTTTCATGCGACAGCCACATACAGCGCTTTCTGCTGGAAAGGGCCACCAGTACAAAACAAATAGTCCCGATCGTACTTTAGCACTGTATCCTCAGACTCTCAGCTTTCTGGTTTTCTTAATTATAGAGAGCAATACAAAGTGTAACTGAAGAGGTGAGAAAAACTTCAATGAAAAATCTTTGAAGAGAGAGAAAAACCCCACTTTTTTCGAGAAATGACCAGCGCTGTTCACAAATCGCAAAAAATGTCACGAAACGTTGAAAAACCAATATGAATATCTGTCTTATAATTGAATTAGTTCGAAAGACAGTCACCAATGCACATGCGTAGTTCATGAAAACGCATTTCAGTTTTTTATATAAAAATGTTTGATAAACGATTTGTGATCGAGATCAGTAATACAACAAAGAGAAAAAAGCAATGCAAAAATTGATTTCCTACGCAAATGCCAAAAATAGCTATCAACGGACCACATTTTTGTACAAATTGGCGCTTGTTCGTCGTGAATAATTTAGGATGTGACAAAATAGAACAGTGTACAAGAGAATTTTGCAGCGTTATCGATCGCTTGCCAAAAATTGTTTTGATATAGTGATTTATCGAATTTGGTTACCTTCTACTATTTCTAGTCGGATGCGATTCGAGCTTGCGACATTCATTTAAAAAAAAAGAAAAAAAAAGTGAAATCAGCAATCATAAGCGCAAAAATCGCCAGTTTTCTAAGCTTTTCGAAAAGGTGTTGCCTGCCAAGTATTTTTAAGCATTTCAATTATTGCGGACCGTTCATTTTAGCAGCAGAAAGAACACACTCACTTGTTTTGAAAAAGCACGTTAAAAAATTCTTTCTTATTTATCAAGTGTTGCTCAGGGATAGAATAGTATAAAAAATAGTATAATAGAATGGTATAAAAAAATAGTGTATAAGCAGTGTAGAATGACGTGGCAGGTGGCACTGCTAAACTGATGCTTTCGAGCCCTGCACTTAATCCTGAGGCACTTGCACAATGGGTTTACTCGCCTTAAGCTGCTTTTTATTTTGAACCTGCCTCCGAAGTGGGAGGATTTGTTGTCTTTCGAAGGTCGATAAGTGAAAAAATATTAATTATGCTAGTATTCCATAAAACGTAATTTATCAATCCGGAAAAGCAGTTATACAGAGAGCGCAGAAAGGGGATGGACGTAGGAAAGGGCTATATGACCAGAATAAGACCATTTGCTGTTTCAGTTCACATGCCGGTAGTTGAAAGGGTGACAGTGAAAGTCATCGCTTTTTACAGCCTATTTCAAAACGGTTTTCAGCAAACTGGGTTTAAAAAATCGACTCGAACATTAGTGACGCAAAGTTAAATCGCCTACGCTAAGTTTCCACTGCTAAATATGCTCGAGAAAGTAGTGAGATCCTGTAGAAGTTAAACATATCAAATAAGTTAGAGAATTTGAAATCAGTCCCACAAAAACAGTGTGATCTCGGAAGAAGTCATGTTTACTTAGATCCGGACATAAGCATGTGCTACAATATCCAGTGTAGCAATCGCTGACGGAGAGCTGCCGATTGGTTCATGCTGAAAAACACCGCCACTGCCCTTGGAGTAATAAACCGAAAGAACCACTTACGATTTTCAGTGCCGCTTGTTTGGAGCAGTGGCATACATATGACAAACGTGATCACTGACGGAAATATAAGAGCAGGCCCCAGGTGTGGTGAAGTA